TGAGAACGAGGAGGAAGTTGCATCCGAGAGTATTTTAGAGCCACGATCTGCTAAAATTTCTTCGACAATGTCCGCAGCCCCGGCCATTTCGCCTCTTGCGGTTTTTGTAGGGACGCATCAAGCGCGTCTCCAAGCCATATCGTCCAATCAGAACGCTTGAGACGATGTCAAACGGGCGAGAGTGCTATGTACATTCCTGTTGCTGGCATTTTGGTCTGTGTTGCAAAGAGGAACGTTGGTAACGTAGTGACACTGAAATGGTGGGACACAAAGGTTCTTTGGTAAAGAACACGCATGCTACTTTGAGCCCAGCTGACACGTCTGGGGCTGAAAGGGTTTAACATCAGAATTTTTCTTAAAAGTCGGACATTGTTTTAAATTTATTTCCTTATAAATGAAAAAAAAGTTTAAAATATTTTGATTTGTTTTTATTTGGCTATTTAATGCGCAGTTGGAAAGGGCTGACACGATTTGTGCACTCTGATTGTTCAACACGTTGCAAACTGTTGGTGGCACACCATAATGAAACAGATTCCCATGATGACCTCACCGTGAGCACCAAGGCTGGAAATATCCTCAGCAAGGGTAGCAAAGGCTACCGCGCGAGGTATTACTAAAATGACATTTGTGATATTGTATATCTCCACATCAAACGAAGTGAAGATATCAATTTTCACACAGTTGAAGTTATAGACTCGTTTAGAGTTAAACCCCTGATACAACTCCAAGCTCGAACAAAAGATATGCTTTACCACCAGATATCAAAACAGTAACTTTTTTAATTAGGTTTTTAAAGGAGGTAGGCCTATGGGCGTAATCTTTACTCCTTATTACAGCCAAAGAACTTTTTTATGTTTCATATTTAACCATATTCTCGCTTTTTCTTCTGCTTTTATTGATAACATGAGATCAAAATAATTTCATTAGAGACTTGCAGTTCTAAACAAACGTGTAAAAACTGGATTCTGTTGCCGATTTTATTTGAACTTTTGCATTACATCATTCAATAAATTGGGGATAATTATCTACTTGGTACTGTTTTGCTTCTCTTCTTTATTTCGAGGCTGTATTGTAATGTTTATTTCTACAGCAAAACTGTTTAATTGCAAGCCTCGCATCGCGAGACAGATTACCAACTTCGAAGTTTTTTGAAAGAACAAGCAGCTAGCAGTTACCCTATACTTCAGTATTTCAACCGTCATGTTTTCCTGGCGTGTACAGTTGCTGTGGCGAGTATGTTTGCAGCCTATTCACGTTGCGTTATTTGTGGGTGTATCTTCTATTACTTTTTGCACATTAGTTTCCAAATATAACAACTTTATGTATCATATACTCAACCATACGCAAACTTTACGCACTGCCGTATCCATCCACCATGGAATAGTTTGAAACTTTGATAAGTCTCTACGATTGTCTCTGCTGTCACCTCAACTTATATTGAATCATGCCTAGTAAGACTGCTGTTCACCCAATTTGAAACTTCAGGTTTTGGCTAAAGGAACGGGACGAAGCAGAATTAATCGCTACAGACATCGTCATTTTAACACCGGCGCTCTTTTGAGCACTTCATATGTGAATTCCCGGCACATTCAGATATTCATGCCGATCGTCAGACAAAACATGTTGTCTACTATTCGAAGATTTTTTTCAAAAGGAAGTGTTTTAGTAATATTTAGCTCAACAATATTAATCATTCATTCAAATTTTAATAACTTGCAGGGTTTGTAAATGTTAAAGTTTAAGTTTATATAAACGGCTACACTTAATGTATCAGGTTACAAAGGTTTTGCTTCCTGATTGTATGACTAATTCTTGCTCTTTGGCCTGACAGACGCTGCATTAACAGGGGAGATTCAGAACGTGTACAAGATGATCACGTTCCTGGGAGATCTAGGCTACTCGGAATGGTTAGAATACAACGGCTATGGTTGCTACTGTGGTTACGGAGGAAAAAGCGCACCGCTGGACGACACTAACGAGTAATACCACAGCTTCTAATCAACCCTTTCAAGCTGGTTCGTGCTAAGCCTACTCTACAAGGCTTATTCCAAAAAAGTGCTAATATCTTTCATTTTTTCTGGTAAATTCCTGAATGACATATCTTACATAAAATTTGGCATATGAAGAAGAGAGTGTAATACTTCCAAAGCAAATCTTGCCCATCACTAAAGGTGGTTTGAAGTTTATTCACTGGTTCAGTGAATATTGCTTTGTGTCAGGTATGCACAAACTCTTGCTCTACTGAAATGACCAGCATACTTTGCACTAAATGTACATAGGCAGGATACTTAATACCTATAAGACAGCAAATACTGCAAGACATACTGTCCTCTAATTATTAAGTCAATAAAAAAACTTAATTCTTCTACACTATGAATTATACAGCCGTATGAGCTCCGAACTTTTCCATTTCTCTATTTATTCAGTTGCTGCAAACAACACGACGACCGTACTGCTACGGGAGAGATGTTTTGGAAGACGTCGGGCGCCGGACCGCAGAAACTTACGCCGTCATTACGACTACGAGTAACGAATCGGACAATAAGCATCACATCAATTTCTAGAATTACTAGCATCCTCCCAGGCACATCAGATCTTTACTCGGGACAAAGAGAAGTGCCACATTGTGATGCTGTTAGACAATTCAACTGCAGTAGCTTACATCAAGCACAAAGGGGGACACACGCCTCACCGCTGTACCTTGCAACAGAAATGTAGAAGTGGTGCATGGAACTCGAAATCACACTCGCAGCATACCACATTCCACGCACAGAAAACCTCATTACGGATTCCTAATCACGACTGTTTGTAGACAGACACAAATGATATATACACAAATAATGGTGCTGAGCACTCACGTTCTTCAAGTATGCACGAGGCTAGAGCTCTATCCGACAACCGACTTGTTTACCTCAAGGATAAATTATCAGGGGGCAGTAGCGATAAACATGTTTTCAATATCATGGATGAGAGAACAAACATATACGTTTCCACCCTTTTGTGTCTTAGCACAAGTGTTGGGAAAAGTAGAAGTAAATCAGGCAACAGTCCTTGTAATAGCACCAACATCGACAACTCAAGCTTTGTACCCATTCGTTATTGCTCAAGTTAGCCATGGCACAACCAATTCTCCTCCCGCACCAGGAGAACATTGTCACGTAGCCTCTTTCGGGTCAACCACATCCCCTGAGCAATTCCCTACACATGTCAGCATGGTTACTTTGAGGAGGCAGTTCGAAGCCACAGATTTTTCGTCAGAGGTCGTTCAGGTCATGCTTTACAGTTACAGCGAGTCAACACCCAAACAGTATGAGTCTGCATGGACAGCTTGGTGTAGCTGGTGTCATAGAAGGGGTCGTATGATCCTGTTTTTCACCTACAAATGAAATAATGGAATCCCCGGTGGCTTGTGGGAAAGATGAAAGTCTAAGTTACAGGACATTAAGGTCTAGATGGAGGTGTCCTAGTCAGTCAATTTCCAGAATTAAAATATGCAAGCTTTTTTTTTCAATTTTAAGAGACCAAAGTATGCTCTTACTTGGGATAAGGAGCCAGTAGTCATATTACATTCGAAGTCTGCAACCTGGAGCTCAGTTGTCTGTGAAGATGCTAACCCTTAACACTGTCTTTCTTTTGGGATTAGTTACCTTAGGAAGGGTTTTGTCTCTTGAGAACATTAGCATAAGGAACTTGGTAGTAGCGTATAGCTGTCTGAAGTTTGTACCGTCCAGATTACATAAGCAGCATAGGCCAGGCCACGATATCAAGGGAGTTCACTGAAGCCTTTAAGTATGCGCATATTTATCCAGTGCAATATCAGTAGTACACTAAAGTGCATGCCGTGGTTCTGAGACCCAGCTATTTATCAGTCATCAGAAACCTAATCAGAAAGGTAGTTTCCTCAATAATAGTCATCGAATGGTGGAAATACTTGGCTCAGCGGGTGTTGATGCAGAGTATTTCAAAGCTCATTAAACAGGAAGAGCAGCAGCCTTTTGTTCCCATAACTAGGAGTTGCCCAGTAGCAGTTTGATCGGCTGAGTCAACTTTCAGTAGATTTTATCATCAGCCCGCTGTAACCTCCACAGTTGCAAGTTGTCCAGTATTTGCCAAACACTTCCCTAGTTTAGTCTGTGTTTTGTTCATCTGTTGGTTTGTTCATTAAATTGCCTGCATCTCGATTATATTGTTATTTATTTGCCTTGATCCGTACTTACCTGCTCTGTTTGCTTGTTTCCATTCTTGTCTGCTCCTAAGCTTGCTTGCTTCCTTTATTGCCCGTATAACCGTGTAATCTTCCCTTAATTTTAGGAATGACTGTTCGACTCAACTTCAAGAAACTGCTAAATGTCGGCTTCATCATTCCGCTTACAAGCTTTCATTCTTTTTGTAGAATGCATTTTAGTAGTAAGTAACTCTTCATATAGTTTAGTGACTTTAAGCCCTGGAAGCTTCAACTTCAAGCTTGTACAGAACTTCACATCTGCTCTCTCACCAGATATCAAAGCAAAAAATTCTTTTCAATTCAGTTTTAATTAAAAGGCGTATATGAATCAATTTCAGGAAGCAATGTATACTTTGCAGTGCCACCAAAGTCCGACATGATGGATTAAGATAATAAAAAGCACTTTTTTTGTTTTATATCCAACCATATCCTTCTTCCATGGGAAAACATTTTGTCAGTAGTCAGCTGTCGATACATATTGATTGGTTTTTGTTCTGCTTAAACTGATAGCATAAGATCAGGAACAGGATAGACTTGAAATTGGATGCAACCGTGGAAAAACTAGGTTCTGTTGCCGATTTCATTGGAGTTTGTTATTAAATCTTGTTTTGTTTCAGCTTAACTGCTTCATTGTTTGTTACCGGTATTTCTATAGGCTTTGAATACATGTGGAAAACCCATGGAGGAAAAAAGTATAAATGCAAGTCTTGTATCGATAGACAAATCACCGACTTCGAAGCTTTTCATGCAACAAGCAACCAGCAATTGAAGCTAACTCTCTATTTCGACCATCATCTGCAATCCTTCGTTATGAAGTTTCTTGTTTTTCTGGCGTCTACAGTTGCTCTAGCGAGTAAGTTTGTAGCCAATAGCTCATTACCGCTGTATCAGTTGACGGTGCATGTTAATTAATACGGGAATAAATATTTGTACGTTTGAGACCAGATCAGGAGAATGGACGCGACTAAATATAATGCCCGACCCACAGGCGAGGGCATTCTTTCTCCTGATCTGACGGTATCAAAAGTTAGTTGAAGACCGACAAAGTGCATATTTATCTCATTCATCAATGCCGTTTTAGTCAGTGAGTGGAAAGTAGTCAATATGCGATAAATATTCAAGGTTTTGTTCCAGGATCTACTTACATTTTACGGTATTGATCCTCGTGCGAGTTGTCCAGAAGAACCTCTTTAAATGGACCTGGCGAGCGCACGGTAGGTTCTGCTAGCCGTAGCGCACACAGACTCTCAGAAATGGATTAAAACCACTGATGTCCAGTATAAAGAATGGATAAAACATATCTTCCGAAACTCGTACCGCGTATACGTGTTTTCAGGAGGGTAAATAACGAGTGTTGCATTTTTTGCGTGCACTTTCAAACAAACTTTTTCAAAAACTGGTTAAAGTTATTGCACTTCAGTCGTCGGATTTCGAAGAGAGCTGAATTCTGCTCCCGGAGTGGATACTGTTGGAAAGAATAATGGTCTGGATTTGCACAGCAGTAAATTGCCAGAGATCGGTGGTAAATCAAGCTTGGTAAATCAAGGAGCAGCTTTTCAGAAAGTTTCTTTTTAATGCTTGACTGTAGGCCTAAATAGTTAATGACAGTCTGTCTAGCCCATCGGGCTTTGTATGTGATACTTCACCATATCAAAGTTGGGATCGTTTGAAAGTGAATGATCCATTTGTCGTTTATTTTCTCCAAAGTTCCCCGGACAATTCTCCAAGAAAACCATGATTTGTATTTTTAGATCTGAAGACGCACCCGAATTGTGTGGTAGACGATGTGATATGAGTGACAGAATTCTTCAACAGGGCAGAGATGATACCAAAGCGAGAAACAGGGAGCTGACGTTTCGGAAGTAAAAAACAAGGAAATTCAAAGTCAACGCTATGAAAGAAACATTGTCTAAATTATAAAAATTAATCGTTCTAACTTCTCAGTTAAAACTGATTTTGTCATCCCAGAAAGTAGTTGTTAAATGTAAATCTTTGTCAAGTTTCGACCTCGGGTTTTTTAATATGATCTACGGTAAAAAAAAACGGCCGTAGTTATAGTTAAGCTGTTTATTTATAGCTGTGCTCATTTGTGCTTGGTACATTTATTCAATATATCAATGAACTTCAGTACAATGTCTCCTGTAAGTGTATAATATTAAAATTAAGACTTCACTTCATTTTGTTGTTAAAATTTTTAGTTTTGACTCAACGAAATCAGACGGGAAACACGTGGACAGTTTGGACATCACATTTACTGGCACAACCTATTGTGGGTCTTGGTGGATTTTCAAATTTGTACACACTGAACAAATATTGCCCAAGCAAGACCGTAGATAGTCTTGGTTGCAAGACTTTCCATTTGTTCCACGACTCGAACCATCACACGTAATACACTGTACATACGCGTATGTATATGTACAGGGCGCATTACCTCACGAATCTTCAGCACAGGAAGGTCTTGGATATTTTATAATGTCTTGGGCGGCAACAGATATGGTAATAAAGAAAGATATGCATTATTTATATTACATGACTTATGATCATTGGAAGTTATGACTCTCAACATACTTCGTGTTTACAAACTACGTTTTCCAATTTAAACATAGATTAACATCAGAGTGGACGGGTGTTTACCGATGCCCACAGCTAAGCATTCACTACAGCCAAAATGTTGCCATGAGCGCATTTAAGAAAAGAAATTGAGCCATTTTTAATTTTTGGCATGTTGCACCACGGTACGGTCACGATGTATGATGTCCCTGCTCGCTTGAGCACTGCAAATTTGGTCTATTATTTCCCCAACCTGGAAACTTATCGGGTAAATGATAGACGAATAGGTGAATATGAAAAGTTGTTACAAAAAATAATCTATTGGCGTATCTTAAAGGTATGTTACAACTTAAAGATGGCATTTTGTGCAGAAATCGAGATTGGGACGCCATTTCGTTTTCAGTTCTCGGTTGAGTGACACCTTAAACTTATATGAATAATTCAATATAAGGCTCAAATGAGGCTATTGATTGACTTCCTCGAAAAGTCGAGGAAAAACACCAAAAAACATAAGAAATGAAAGCAAAATGTACAAGACCTTCCTGCGATAACAATTCGTATAGCGAGAGCGCCCTCTAACAGTGTACGTGTTTGGTTCGTGTCAAAAAAAAAACAACTGGAAGGTCTTGTAACCAAGACTAGACCGTAGCCAGTATGTGTGAAAATGAATTTAAGAGACAAACATACACAAAAACATGTTAAATTTGAAGCGGGTTATTTAAAAATAAAATGGTCAGTTAATTCCGAAAACAATCTAGCAACATTCCTAGTTTTTAGTTATGTCGTTGTTCAAGCGGCAATGACATCATTTCCATTTGATTACTTAATAATGATGTCATTGCCCTGCAAGGTGATGGGAAAATAACGAAATTGGCAATGCCAGCAGCTAACATGGCTGCTGTTGCTGTTTACCATGTTATCGTTGGAGTCTGTGGCAAAATTGTTTGCGATCGCTATTTTGGAGAATCACCGCAATAAACATAGAATTTTCCACCGTGATTCGCTGGATATTTTTAATGGCAACATTTTCATGCATAAAACAAACTTGGCAAAGCTTTATTTTTCGCGTAAACCTTTCCATCGACTTAAAGGAACTCGTCTAACCAACAAATTCAACACCTCCAGTGCCAGATTCGACCAAAAAATCTCCTGGATCGCTTATAGAGATACCAAATGAAAGGGAAGTTTGGTTTAGATCTGGGTTAGCATATTTCCTGTGAATTGTATTGCCGTTTTGGGCCAATAAAGAGTCCGATGTCATCTGCAAACCGTGATCTAAAAATACCTTTAAAAAATGTCTTTGCACAAGCGAACAGCGTATGCATCAGTAGTCTGGCGTCATCGCTAGAATGTGTTTTGGTCCCCGACCTGGGGAATAATATACTTGAACTTTCTGTTTATTTTTTGCTTGCTTTTCGAGAGGGAGGTCGATGGCTTAGCCGCAGTCCCATAAGAAAAATGTTTTCCTTTATAATCAATTTTGACTAAATGCACAGCATACAGCATCATATTACCGTCCTGAAACGCAGCGTGTCGAATAACCTCATTGCCAGTGTTTATTAAAGAACGGTCGCGTTGCACGCTATTGAATGGGGAAACTCTCCAAGGTATTTATGGATTCACTTTAATCTGCATTTTTTAAACTTTACTGCGCCCATGCCTTACGCACTTCAGTATCTAAGTCCACCATGGAATGGTCTAAAAGCTTTGATAATTTGCAGGATTGTCACTGCCGCCGCCTCAACTTATGTTACAGGGTGCACTGTATGACAGTTGTTCCTCCATTTTTGACTAGTGGAACAGGACGAAACAAAAGTAATCGTAGTAGACATCATCAGGCGAATCATGTTGATGGTTATTTCAAGACCAGATATTCCTCGTCTCCCTGAGGAAGTGTCTCACTATAAAATATATAGTTGCACATCATCTACCTTTCAAATTTCAATAATTTTCAGACAGTGTACACTGCTTAAGATTGATAGATGGCATTAGTTTTTTTTTTTAAATGCGGTTACACTTAATATATCAGGTTAAGAAGATTTTCTTCAAGTTCAGCTTATTGCAGCATAAAAAGCCAAATAATGTTTGTTTCGCCTGGACAGGCGCTGCATCAAGAGGGGAGATTCAAAACTTGTACCAATTTGGAAAGATGATCATGTGCCTGGGGAACCTTGGCTACTCTGAAGGGTTAGAATACAACGGCTATGGCTGTTATTGTGGCTACGGAGGGAATGGCACACCAATGGACGAAACTGACGAGTGAGTCATACCACAGGTTCTAGCCGACCCTTTCGAGCTGACATTCCCCCCTTGACGAAAATGGTTTCAGATTCCCTTTAGATGTCACAGGGCATGTTTTCAGTGATTCTTCCAGCCAATCATAAATTCAATTTTTCAGTTGAATTTCATAATTTTTCAGTTGAATTTCATTTCTGTATCCAGCTGTTGTAAACAACACGACGACTGCTACGGGAGAGCTGTTATGGAAGATGTCGGGTGCTGGACCATAGAAACCTATGGCACGATTTACGACTACGACAAATATACCGACGAATCTGGCCAGTGTGCCATCAAATGCAGTAAGCCATCAGTTATATTCATTCTTAGCACTTGGGTTCGTACTTTGCTGCATTATTATTGGGCACACGTTCTGTGTATAGTCAAGGGCACTTAATTCGAATAAGAGATAGTACTGAATTAGTGAAAATACATTTATAAAAACGACTCTAAGTGTAGAAAACGTTGAAAATAAGTGAACAGTTCTCTTCCTTTCATCAATTTATTTCGTCGCAGTGTGATCATGAATGTCGTCAACCTTCTCGTGGCTCATTTTATGTTGGGCACAATCTTTTGATGTATGCAAATATATACCGCAGTCATTGTTCACGGGTATGTTGAAGACCCCATTGAGATGCGTGGAAGAGGCCTTTTACCTTGTCCTGATTAGGAACAGCTGGATACATGCAGTCATGCTCACAACAGCTCAAACGGGACAGGGTAACTGCGTAACGAGAGCTTTTCCGTACTTGCCATATGTCAGCCGTTAATCTTCAGTTTTATCATTTTACAGCTAAAGAAGAGGATTACCCATGGTACGTCATAAGAACCAAATGCAAAGCCTTCATGTGTGAATGCGACCGCATTGGGGCGCAGTGCTTCGCCGACAAGCGGTCTACCTTCAACCCCAAGCTCATCGACTACGATAACGACAACTGCTAGTTAATATGGTGCTGGATTCCTTGAGTGGAAGCCAAAGCAATGGAAACTTTATCAAGATCACTGAAATTAAATTACTTGCTTAACTAATCAACGTACATTAGCAAAAGTTTGGGAGAAGCAGGGTTAAGGGGACACGCAATAATGAAAAAATAGCTAAAATGCATACTTTTAATTCTGTGTTCTTGTCATAAGAGGAAATTTGATTGAAGGGGTTTTGTGAACGGTATTTTATCTGTTGACTAAGGCAAAAAAACCTGAAAACAATTTTTAAAAAGCATGTAGCCGTTTGGATTTGCACGCATCAGACCAAGCGTGATCATGGCGTGTTCACTTGCGAGGGAAATAAAGGAAAAGAATAACAAAATGATCTGTAAGCGTGTTCCTTTACCCATAGGTCCTATATTTCTTTTTGAAAATGAATGCTTGACCTCTCATACACCAGGATGACAACAATTAACAGGTGTCGAATTGAGAGCTGTTCAAGTTGTTGGTGAACGTAATAAAATAGAGCTATATTGCACACTAAGATCTTAAGTGTTATAGTTTTTCTTTAATTAATGTGCAGGAAGCAGTGGCTTGTTGGTTAAGTGGTAATTAAGTTTCTCTCAGGGCGGATGTGCATCCGTACTCTGTAAAAACAGCCACTAAGCAGGCCCAGACAATGGACCTGCTTGATGGTACAGTATTATACATTGATGGAAAGATTAGATATCGGACTACTGCCTATCTAACGACCACATCCCTAATAGGGTTCTGAAACATGAACAGGTGAATAACAGAAGTATCATAGGGTGATGTAGATGAGTTGTCTTGACAAGAGTATGTCAGTTTAATAACCTATACTGTTTTCAGTCTATTGCCAACACTTCTCCTTTTTAAAAGGAGAAGTGTCTGGTTAAAAGAAAGGTCTGGTTAAAAGTGTCTTACTATAATGGCGGCCCTGGTGCCGTGTTTGACTCCGCACTGGCAGAATACCCGCCATTGGCGAAAGAAAAGGCACACCCTGGACTCAAACACTGCCAAACAGAATTGTTGTTCAATACCACAGGCTCGGTCGTCCCGTTACAAGGGACAGATCCATAACTTTTGCTGGGGGTTCAATTTTTTCGGGGGGGGGGTCGTATTTTTCGCAGATAAGACCCTTATATGGTATATACCAGGAGGGTTGCAACCCTTAAATGTAAGCCGTTGACCTCCAACATCCCTGGATATGGGCCTGCATGCTGTCAAGGTGCTGCAGGACGATATCTCATCCACAAAAAGTTTGTGTATATACACACAAGTTCGTGGCAGGCGTGAATGTGGGGTGTTTGCTGCCTCTCCCAATATGTATCCGCCAGTGTGCACCGGGACGTGCTGAACCAATGTTCAAAGAAATGCTATCCAATCAACGATAGCTCAGAAAAGTTGCCCGGTGCTTCCTGAAAACGTTAGTCCATTCCATTTTCTTTAAGTGACGGTGGTGCCAAGACCAGAGATTCTGACGTCATGTCGTCTTGGGTCCAAAACGCTTTTCGCAGTGCTGCTATCCGATATTTGTGCTGTGTGTGCAATGGGAGACATTGAGACTCTTAGTGGCGACAAATGTATCAGCCCTTCAGTTCTGAGCACAGATATATAAACCACTGATCTCTGTACACTGGATAGGCAGCTCTGCTCTGCGAATTGAAGCGACTGTGCCGCCATCTTAGGTTATTCAATACAATGGCATTTTTACCGGCTTTAGCGCCATGCATGAATGCACTTTAGTAAATGGACTGAAGTTGGATTGTATTGAATATCCTAAGATGGCCTCTCGGTCCCTTCAGTTCACACACAGACAGTTACTGCTGAGCTGCCTATCCAGTGTACAGAGATTAGTGATATAAACACATAGACCACCAGATCGCATTCAAAACTACATGAACATTCGTGATCTTGGCGGCGCCCGACTAAAATCAAAACTATGGGCAAATTCAACCCTGGGTGTAGGGAATTTACGCACAGTTGACACATAATGTTCATGCCCCTCACTCAGTTGTGCGCATGCGCACTGAATCCACAGTAGCGACAGAAGCCAGTAAAATGGCTCTTGACTCCGGCAGGAGGACCCCAAAAGTAATCGATCAACATCAAGCTCAGATAAAGTTGTTTGCCCCTCTTTTCCATACCGACTGGAATTTCAATATCCAAAGTCCCTTTTGCTAATTTGCACACTATAGAAATCCATTATCTGCCAAATTTTTGGCCGTTTTTGTCACGCACAGAGTCAGAAGTTGAAAGCAAAGCTAACATTTTAAAGGTTTTGTTTTTAGTTCTGCTGAGATTTCCCTGACATTTCTCTACTTGTGAATGGTGAAGAATATCATGAACACTCTTATGAGAAAGTATCATACTAGAAGGTAACTATAGATGAAAACGGAAAGTTTTTGTTTGTGCCTTTTAGTCGGGCAATTTGACGTGTATTCCTGCAATGCAGTAGGTCAACTCGTACCCAAACGCACTCGTATCTAGGTATGTGTACGTGTGCACCATGCCAATAATCCGGATATTTTGACTGCTGCCAAACTCAGAGCGGAAATTTGAGTCCGCATGAAAAACGAACCGCATTTCAGACAAATGGCTCTCGTTCTTAAAAAAAATGAGCAGATATATACAAAAAATTATCAGTCTTCCAAACAGTATATCCCCGATGATCTCAGGGGAATTCGTCTAAAGTGTGAAAATTGGGCACTAAGTAAGGTGAAAAACACGGAAAATGACGAAAATGGGTTCCAATGAAAAATGAAGTGAATTTTAAAAAATTGTTATCTTCCTAGAGAAAATAACCTGTTTTGTACAAAGTTATTTGAAGGTAAACTCGGCAAAATTGTGAAAAGTAGACACAAAGTTTAATAGGTAAAGAAACGATAATTTTTCCTAATTATACTTTGTTGTAAAATTGACATACTCCACTTTCTTTGATTATATACTTTCCGGCGATCTTTCTTACTAGAAGCTATTTAATAGCACCATTTGATAGACTCCTGGCAATTTATTCACACGCGAGGTCTTCAAGGGAAAGGGGAGTACAAATCCCTCACGTGGGTCACCACCGATGCGCGTCGTCTGCTAGAATAATTTTTTCAGCCCGACGACCATTATGTCACTATTGAGCATGCACGGATAGGCCTACACAAACTAAATGCATGTTGAAGATTCCCAAGCTTAAAAGTTTATGGAGCAAATTGATTGTAAAAAAAATCCTATAATTACCTAAGCAGGCCTATATAGCTGGAATCAATTCGGTTGCAACACTTGAAATAGGCCCGTTGGCTGGGGGAAGGTTCGGAAGGTTCAAACGAACCCCCGCTCTTCCAAGTTCCGCTCGTTGGGGGTGGTTTTTTTTATATTTTTAATATTTGTTTTTGTTTTTTTGTTTTGTTGTTTTTTTAATATATAATATTAATATACCACATTTTTTCCGAATATAAGCCGCAGTTTATACACTGTTTCCCATTCTGAAAATAGCTTTGCAGTTTATACTGAACTCCGGGAGGCTTATAAGGCAGCATTTGAAGAATGAAATCAGTCACTAAACGCCGCGTAGAATATACCTAACGCGGCCTAACTGCTTTTAACGTTTGTGTGTGGAGCAACATTTTACCTCCAATTTCACAAAAGGTGAAATTTAATCAAACTCCAAATATTCTGATTAATAAATTTCGATTTCACATACCCACTACAATGTTCCAATGACCTTTTATTTTGGTCCGATTTTTACTCGAAGTGCAAAATGAAATGCACCCTCAATTTTTTGAAACAAGTTTTAGTTAGGTGAGTGCAGGTAATAATGATTTACTACGATTTATCACTTTTTTGAACTTCTGAATTCTCGTGTGGGATTTTTTGGAGATTTTTTAAAATAATAATGTTAATAATTATCATTCGCTTGTCACCCAGCGCCCGATTCAACGCGCTGGGTAAAGAGCAAATTCATGTACCAGGCCAATTTACAACACGCTGTAAACCTACAAACTGAAGTTAGGGGCCTATACAAGTCTTACATGCATCCTTCGGTTCGCAACAAACATGGAACTTGTTAATGTTGTGTTCCAAAGCACATTAAGATAGTCTTTTGTATAAAAATATGTGTTGACAGTGCCACAAGTTCCATTTTGGGTTTGACGAACCCCCCCCCCGTCTCTGGTCAGGCAACGGGCCTGTGAAAAGGAGAGATAACAGTAGCAAAAAGCAAATAAGTGAAAGTATTTTGGGGGCATATGTAAACAATATAGGTGCGTTGCTCCCATACTTTTCCAAAAAATCACGGTTACACGCACGGCGCTGGCGGTCATGGCGTTTATATGCATTGATCTCCATTATAAGACTGACTGGGACATGTTCACGCTTACGCATGGTGAGGACTCGGAAAATGTGGGCAGCTGGCGGCGAGGGTTTGCGGGTTTCTGCGCATGCGTATTTTGGAACATAGAGGTATGTTTGGATGCTGTATAAATCAATCTCAAACGTCTTAGCTCAGAGATGTTCTTTTACGTGCAGTCTTAGATATATCTTGAATGAGTGCAATCTTCGTAATACAGATTAAAGTTTACAAATTAATAGTAAGAGCCGAGGATCTTTATTTTTTTTCCCTATATTAAAGCTCATTTGCAAACAAATCAAAAACCGTAGAATCGGGACAGAAAACAGAAGGATTTTACTGTGGAGCGTTGTTTTCACGGACGGTTTTTTTCTCAAAAAGCAACGAAAAGCACAGCTGTATGACGTAAAGAACTGTACATGTTGATAGCACCCTGACATGTAGTACAAAATGCACACTGGACTAGGTACAAAGTCTTTTTTCTGTTTTACACACCTCAATTTATTACAGACTGCAGGTCTATAAAGTTAAACGCCTTTGATTTTGATACATTAGAGAAAACCCCTCCTTTATTTAAATTATTTCTTCGCCAAATACACAAATAAAAATGCGTGTTTCCAGATTTGACAACAAACTGAAATTATAACAGAATACTGAGACAGAAAAAACAGAGCAGTATTTTACTTTAAAAGTTACAGGTCTATACAAGTGAAATGAGCGTGGACACTGATCGGCATAATAGACCAACAAGCTAACCATTTCACACTTGGGCAAAATTTAGGACCTTATGCATCAGCAAGATCACTTTAATATCATTCATCCTCCACGCTTGGAAAGTTGCTCATGATATCAAAACAAATGATGTCAATAAATACATCTTACTGAATAGTTTCCAGTAAAAAGATCCAACATAAATTTGACTAGAAACCGATCACACCCTAATACATTTTGTTTGGACAACCAGTTGTATTGTCAAAAACAACTACATATAAATAAAATCCACTATACGTCAAGATACACCACTTTCCGACATTGGTCATTATTGGTCAGGCCTATTACGATCTGTATGATTTTTTTTTAAAGAAATAGGAGCAGCACATTCTTCAGACCGACTAATTTCCCCTTGCGCACCATACATGTCGCGGGCACGCCGGTATGTGACGATCGCAACTCAAACTTTTAAACCCAAGATGGAAGGAGCCGTGTCCTATCCAGTTTTTATAATGGAGATTAAACATACAAACACACAGACGGGCAGCTCCTATTCAAGACAACGGCGGGGTACCGTAGTCGAGACGGCACTAAACTAAATCCAAAAGTGTAGGCAAATTCACCCATCGGTACAGGGAATTTACACACAGTTGAAGAATTCTGGCCATAAAATGATATGAAGACATTTTCTGATTGTGGAAAAAAGTCCTCTTCTTAGTTAATCTGGCGATTGCAGATTCAAAAAAAAGCGGTCCCAACATTTGAAAAGAAGAGATAGCAGTACAAAAGAGTACAAAAGGAGCGTCTTTTTAAAACACATGTTAACAAATGCATGCAATCTAAGTGTGTTACGCGCAATTTGCAATGTACGCGCTGTCATTCATCGTTTCGCCCACTGCTTGACCACGCTTTTTAAAATCAAGGTTATACACGCAAAACTGGTGGTCTACGTGTTTATATGTCTGTGCGCATAGCTTATGCGATTCATTGTGACATTCTTTTTTGCGTACCAACCGCTCCACCTTTCCTGTGATAGCGACTCGTCTAGTGATGGTTCGTGTAATTTGTCGCATGATGTTTGTGTCGTTGAATAAACTACAAGGTCTTCGAACCAAGACTAGAGGTCATTCAGCCATTACACCTAGCACAAGCTCCTGGGTTTCGTGCAACGTTTATATAATTAAACGGCCACAAAACAGCGTCAGAATACTGAAAATGTAGACAAACGACTTGTTTAGGAAACTTACAATACCGGCGTTTCACAATAGTTAGCCTCCAAGAGTTAAACACGCGTTGGCCAACCACAACGTGCAAAATCTGTCGACCCAATCCGGTTTGTAAGTGTGACGTCACATCAGTTTAACATAGAGTTACGTGCATTGATCGCCGTTTACATGGAACGAGAAGCTAACGCTCAATTTCAGTCATTATTCAATGGGAGCCTGCAAATCGTGGCACGTGTATGACGAAGTCACTTACGAACTGCATGGTCCGCTTGCGCATTTGGAAGGGGTCGACAGAGTTCGCGCGTTGTAATTGGCCAAAGCGTTGTAAACTCTTGGACGCGCAGTATTGTGAATCGCCCGTATTTCTATACTACAGGTACATGTGAAACATTTGCTCCCCCGTCTTAATTAAAAGGCCAGTTCACACTTGGTGTGAAAGCAATAAAAAGGCGTATATCTGTGACGTCAGATCAAATACTTCTGTTGTGAATTCGTGCAACTTGAGCGAACTGTCACTTCAAATTTGTCATGACGTCAACTTAGCTTCGCTTTCGCGTTCACGTGAAGTATGAACTAGCCTTAAGTCCTCCCCATCAACGAAGAATCGGCGTGGATCAATCATGAAAGTTCACCTATACCCAAACTTTACAGCGTTTTCAAATAAGGCACTCTTCCTCTGTCGTTAACATCATGACGTTATACAATGAACCGAAGTTCTTTCTCCTTAAAGGATTTTTGGATCTTAAATGTAAACCTTAAGCCTATTCAAAGATGTCCATGGAGAGCCAACATTACAGAAAGCGTTGACTTGGAATCGTTCCACTTCCCTTGATTGTGAACCTTTAGAATGTAGTGACTGATTCCTGTCATTATTGTTTTTTGTTGTTCTTGTTGTGGTCGTAGTGGTCGATGTGGTCGATGTGGTCGTTGTGGTCGTTGTGGTCGTTGTGGTCGATGTGGTCGATGTGGTCGATGTGGTCGTTGTGGTCGTTGTGGTCGTTGTGGTCGATGTGGTGGATGNGTGGTCGTTGTGGTCGTTCTGGTCGATGTGGTCGATGTGGTCGATGTGGTCGATGTAGTCGTTGTGGTCGTTGTGGTCGTTCTGGTCGATGTGGTCGATGTGGTCGATGTAGTTATTGTGGTTGTTTGTTGTCGTCGTCGTTGTTGTTGTTGAAGTTTGAGAGTGATGAAATTACTACAGGGGCTATTGTAGACAAAATTGTCACGTGATTACTGTTTGCAAGTTTATTTAACCCCCTATTCTATTTAACGATCGTTTGCCATCTTTTATTACAGCGGATTAAAAACAGTTGTGATGAGAAAATATGAATTTCGAGATATACTTACAAACCCACGAAGTCGTCAAACTGATAATATGGTCGGTAAAAGCGAGGCATGAACGTTTTGACCATTTCCGTCAATAAATAAGCATACCTCAAAGATGTAGGTGCATGAATCGATTCAGATTTTCCCCAATAAACGTCACTTTGAGCATGCATCTGCAGCTCATATATGGCACAAACGTTAGTGGACTGTTTACATGGGACCCGCACACCCATTTCCACCAGGTGTCTCAGACTTCTCCCTGTCATTATGTGGTTCTCAATACACAGTGAAGTTTGTAAGGACCTGCCATCGGTCAACTGTCACTACTTACATAGTGTAAAAGAATAACTTACATACCATTTTACTTCATATTGTAAGTCTATGAACTACCTATCTGGAAACTATAGGCCTATGTACCTGTAATGGGAGGAAACAATGTGGTAAAGTTTCCACCGTCAGATACATCAATAAAATATAACTGGATTTGTTGGATTATTTTTTTAAAGCTCTGCTCCCAAAATAAACAATATTCAATGTAGTTTTGTTATTACTGACATTAAGACTGCCTGGAAAATTCATAGTTCCGTCACATGATCTGTTGACCCAGATAGTTAAGTAGATCGTTTGCGACACCATATATGTTTGGGCTTCACTTACCATCACCTCGAAGTAATCAGTGTCCAAACCATGTTCCTGATGATCTGTTCACTTGCACACGTTTTTGATCGTGTCGACTCGGTCAAAAACTACTACAACTATCTTATAGTGGTCCATATCGTGTCATGAAAAGAGGGAACAAATACTTTATTTTAGACACGGTAAACACGATTTAAATAGTGTCGACAGACTGAAAGTGGCACACGCAGATTTCGAATCAAAATCATCTTCAACTAGACCAACTCCTAGGTTTTCATTAAAGTCAATGTAATTTGAAAGGGGGGGGCTGATGAAGGGAATTCATTGCATGCATACATGCATAGCGGCCATGCATGAGGCCATGTGGTAGTTGAAAAAAAACAGACTTCAGTAGGTAGAAAAATGCTCGATTCTTGAAATTCACACCCCTTGGTGCGTGATGAGTTTACAAAGAGGCTCAGCGTGGACTGCAAAACCTCCAGTCTCTCTTCTTGACGACTGCGCTGAGTTCTACCTCCCTGTGGTTTTTCTACGTCAAAGTTTGTCAGTCACAGCTGCGTGGGCTTTGAAAATTGGGTCGCCGGCGTTTGCCCCTCACAGCCAATGGGTCCATGCACGTAGCCGATTCCTATCTTGAATACACTTTGATGGTAACATTTATTCATAAACTCGGCAGGCAATTTTTTATTTAATTAATTTGGTTAAGCACCAGCAGGCTAACTTTTGTTTCTCCTTGGCAGTTGCGAGTTATTTTGTAAGCTCGAATTTAAAGTACATATTACTAAACACGCGTTTGCCAGCCAATTTTCATACTGGTTCTGAGAGCAACTGATAGGATTTGGACCAACAAAATCAGATGTAGAGCTAATTTCTGTTGGACTTGAAAAATAAACCAACTTTTTAACCAACAGCTTTATGGTTTATGTGGTCAGAAGCTATCTGTTGAACGACAGTCGAACTTTAACAGTATGTTTTTTCCCACCACTTTCATGATGCCAAGTGTCCAATTAAGAGTTGGATCAAATTACATGTCTTGGCGAAGCTCATCTTTCTAGAAATCTTTATAAACATACGTTGCTACATTTTGGCAGGCGGATAGATACGAGGAGGATATCACTTTCATTATTGATGATTTAGGTTGGATTTTAGGAAGAGCTAAAATATTCGTAGATTGTCATACCCCAGGATAACACTCCTGTGTTACCGTTTAATGCACAAATTGGTTTAAGAAGATAAACTGAGAATTTTCTGAGAAGCCAGGATGGTATTTGGTAAGGGCTAGATGCTTCGCTTGAGTTGATATTTCTCAAGCATCTCGCCCACGTCATAAGCTGGCGTGCTGGTTGCTGGCTCCTCTCCCTCCATTTCGGGGATGACAGTTAAACTCAACTACACAATAAATTGTTCAATATCTGTTCCAATTTTCCTCTCACCGGGCTTCAGTTCTTTTGTCAAATACACCTAATTACTACAACTCCAAGCATGCACAGAACTTAACCAGATGTCAAAGCAATTAATCTTTTTAATTGAGTTTTAAAATAGGAATGTGAATCATAATCAGGAAGTAATCTATACTTTCTAGTGCAAATTCCGATATGACGGATATGAGAATAAAGCAATGCGCTTATTTTGTTAATCAATTCAGTATCCTTTTCCTGTGGTTAATTATTGTGGCTGTGATGGGAAAGCATTTTGTCAGTATTCAGCTGTCGAAAAATGTAGGCCTATTGATTGTTTTGCCCTTCATTCTGCTCTTATTGATAATGTGAGATCAAGAACATAATAGACTTAGATTTCGAAGCAACCGTGTACAAACTAGGCTCTGTTACCAATTTCATTTGATATGCAATATCAAAATCAGTCTATAAATTGGGGATAAGAATCTTATTGCCTCGATTTTTCTTTCTCGGCTATTTTAAGAAGCTCATACAATTTCGAGGTTTTTGGTTTCATTGTTTGTGAATTCTGTAGTCTTTGAATACTCATGGAAAACCCATGGGACAAAAAAGTATAAAAGCCAGTCTAGCATCAAGAGACAAATCACTGACCTGGAAGCTTTTCATACCATAAGCTTCGAGTAACTGACACGACGTTATTGATTCGGCCATCATCTGCAATCCGTCATCATGAAGATTCTTGTTTTCCTGGCGTCTACAGTTGCTCTGGCGAGTACGTTTGTAGCCAATAGCTCATTTTCATTGCATCAATTGAGGGTGCACGTTCTTTTACTTTAATTTGCAAATTAGTTTCCAAAATGTTTCCGTCATCATGAAGATTTTTGTTTTCCTGGCGTCTACAGTTGCTCTAGCGAGTACGTTTGTAGCCAATAGCTCATTCTCATTGCATCAATTGAGGGTGCACGTTCTTTTACTTTAATTTGCAAATTAGTTTACAAAATGTTTGTAACAACTTATAGTACGTACCAACATAAACGCACTCATACCTTTCGCATTACTGCAGTATCTATCTATCATGGAATACTTTATAAACTCCTGAAACTAAAGGTTTTGACCAATGGAACAGGACGAAACAAAAGTAATCGTAGTAGACATCGTAATGTTCACAACAGAACCCTTCCAATGATCAATTAGTAGATGAATTCCTAAAATATTTGGATTTCAAACCGATCGTCAGACAAATCATAATATTGGCTGTTGAGAACCATAGATTTTTCCCATGGGAGGTCTCTAAGTATGCAGTATATAGTTGTATGTTGCCTTTCCTGCAGCTTCCTATAATTTGCTGGCTGTGTGAACTGTTTAAGATTTCATGAGTTTTTATAAAATACGTCTTACACTTAACATGTCAGATTTTCTTTATTAAAGTCTAACGGATTGCATAAAATGCAACCAATACTTGTGTGCTTTTTGACCTGACAGGGGCTGCATCAACAGGGGATATTCAGAACGTGTACCAATTTGGCAAGATGATCATGTGCCTTGGAGACCTCGGGTACTTTGAAGGGTTAGAATACAACGGCTACGGCTGTTACTGTGGTTATGGAGGGGAGGGCACACCGCTGGACGAAACTGACACGTACGTAATACCACAACTTTTTTTCAACCCTTTCAAGCTGGTTCGTGCTACGCTCTTTCCTTAAGGTTCAACAAAAACAAAACGACTTCATTTAATCACACATTAGGCCTAAAAACAATGCGAATAGTTGTCATTTTCCGGTTAATTTCTAAATGGCACACTTGGTCGATTTAGGGCGGGAGTGCAATATTTCAAAGGCTTATCCCTCAAGATGGTTTGAGGTTTGCTCCTTGGTTCAGTGAATATTGCTTTGTGTCGGCCAGGTATGCAATGAAATGGCTGCAGCATCCTTTTACTAGACAGACTGTAGGACTGTTATCCTGGGCTCTATCCAACTTATACAGTCATAACAAACAAGAGGACAGGATTCCGTCGTTTGATAGCAGTTTTAATCCGTCTGTACACATGTACAAGCACTGCATGGGTTTGACACATGGGTTCAAGCAGTGCGTCATCAGTCCCTCCTCTCAAGTAGCCCGCCCTTGTTAGAGTTGGACTGGTAGGCTGCTTTGAAAAGCTAAATGTGAACATAAAGGTGGTGAATTACAGGATTGAGCCTCTGGCAATAATGTATTACATGAACTTTAACCTTCAATTAGACAGGTACATAACCCTGAGACAAGCCAAGTATTAAATTAATATTGGGTCATAGAGATGAATCTGGTTTGAAGCTCTTTTAACTGAAGAAATAAGGCCAAAGCCTACTTCATTTTAAGCCCTTGAAAAACCACTTTATATGTCCAATGATGACAGTCGTACGTTTGCTTTATTCATCCCAAATTATGTTTTTGAACCCTGAAAACCCTGCGATTCTGTGCAGATTGCTGGCATGTGGTTGCGATAGATACATTCGGCCTGCGAACTCGTCGCCTTGGGCTGCATTGCCGCGCACACAAAGCACGCCCTCTGCCACACTGAAGTGCGCATTCTGCCAAATGAGATGTGCGGTAGTAACACAGACAACACTCTAAGACATAATTCCCCTATAAAACAAAATAGATCCGGATTCCCTTTTAATGTCACAGGCATGTTTTTTAGTCCTTACAGCAAATTAGTAAGTCAATAAAAACCCTGAATCCACCTCCACTATACATGATATGGGCCTAAAAACCTTTTTATTAATCAAATTACATTTCTTTTTCTATTCAGCTGTTGTAAACTGCACGATGAATGTTACGGGAGAGCCAAAACGGACGAAATCGGTTGCTGGGCCATAGAAACTTATGGCACCATTTACGACTACGAGAAATACACCGACGAATCTGGCAATTGTGCCATCAAATGCAGTAAGTCATAATTATTCAGTTTGATATATTCTTTACATTTGGATTTATAATTTGCTGCAGTTGGACACACCTGTGGTCATGTAGTTACAACTACGCTACTTCAAATGAACAATAATATTTAAATAGTGAAACAACGAAAGTGAAATCTGTTTACCAAAATTCCATTTCATCAATGAATTTAATTCGTAGAAGTGTATACGACTGAATTCAACGCTCTCGTTGCTCATTTTGTGTTGGGTAAGGTTTTCTGATGTATGCAAATGTAGTGTCTGTAGTCATTTGTTCAGGGGTATGTTGAAGACCTCATTGGGATTGTGAGAGAGGTCTTTACCTTGTCCTGATTATGATCAACTGGACACACTCCAGTTATGTTCACACCAGCTAACACAGGACAGGGTAGCTGCGTCATTTGAGAATATTTTTCCATATCTCAGCCGTTAATCTTCAGTTTTATCATTTTACAGCTAAAGAGGAGGATTACCCATGGTACGTCATAAGAACCAAATGCAAAGCCTTCATGTGTGAATGCGACCGCATTGGGGCGCAGTGCTTTGCCGACAAGCGGTCTACCTTCAATCCCAAGCTCATCGACTACGATAACGACAACTGCTAGTTCGTATGCTGCTGGATTCCTTGAGTGGAAGCCAAAGCAATGAAAACTTTATCAAGATTACCGAAATTATATTAAACGTACTTGTTTAATCAATGTGGCAACAATTTGGCAGAAACAAGGGTAAAGGGCGCACAATATTTTTTTTTAATTGAAGTAATCAGAGTGTCTCAGATTATTTTTTTCCGAACGTTATTTCATTTATGAAGCAAGGAGTAAAATATGAAAACACTTTTTATTGAAGCATATATGCGTTTGGGTTTGCTGCTATCAGATCACCAATGATCATGGAGGGATCTGTTCTACATACTACCCATTGCTTCAAAGAATATGAAGGAAATGAAAACAATATAAGTGTGTGCCTTTCACCATGGGTCTCACAAAATAAAGGCAATGCCTATCTTACACAAAAATGAAAACGAATCACAGGAACTGAATTAAGATGTGTTCAAATTGTCGGTGAATTTAAGAATAATAAAATAGACTATGCTGTACGCAAAGATTTTGAATGTAATGGTTTGTTGGGTAAAGGTGGTGGATGAAGTTTCTCTGAGGGTGTATGTGAACACTCGGTAAAGACAGCCACTAAACAGACCCAGTCCTGCGACAGTATGACCCGATCTAATGTTCAGACAAACTCGTACCAGGGACAGATTTGACATCGGACCTCAGCCCAGCTAATGACCACTACAAATTCCCTAAGGCATTTTGACACATGCGCAGATCCCAATAATGACAGGAGTACAATAGGATGATGTACATAATTAAGTCATCTTGACAGGAGTGCATATCACTTTCAGACTAATAACTAAAAAAAAAAAAAAAGGTCTGCCTGGGCTCAAATACTGCCGAACAAGTCATGTTCGAGACCACAGGCTCTTCTGTCCCCTTTCCCGCAAGATGAACCCAGGACTTGGTATCACTCACAAAAGACGTTGGTGAATATAAGTACAGGTGCATGGCTAGCGCGATTGTGAAATGATTGCTGTATCGTCGTGTTATACGCATCCAGAAGTGTTGCACTTTAATGTTTGGAAAAATATTATCCCAGTGTTTTGTACGGAGAACGCACGGTAGAAGAAAATCCAAAGACAGAACAAGGACACTAAAATATGGGCAAGGGACGGCAGAGGAACTAATTTGTAATAACATCTATTTATGAACTTAAACTAGCAAAGTAATAACATAAATCAAAGTAAATCTGGTGTTTTGGTTTGGTTTGCTTTGGTTTGGTTTGGTTTGCTTTGGTTTGGTTTGTTTGTTTGTTTGTTTGTTTGTTTGTTTGTTTGTTTGTTTGTTTGTTTTTTTGTTTGTTTGTTTGTTTGTTTGTTTGTTGGGTTGTTTGTTTGTTTGTTTGTTTGTTTGTTTGTTTGTTTGTTTGTTTGTTTGTTTGTTTGTTTGTTTGTTTGTTTGTTTGTTTGTTTGTTTGTTTGTTTGTTTGTTTGTTTGTTTGTTTGTTTGTTTGTTT